CCGGCCTTCGAAAGAACTTATTACCGGCTACATGCAAACAAAACACTCTATAAAAAGCGACTACTTATGTAAAATGCATGTTTTTCATTGACATTGGATGCCCTTATAAATTCAAACAGATTTTACAGAAAACATGCACAAAAATATTAACTCTTTCGCTCATTCGTTGGACAATTACGCCTTCTTCCAATTTTATACCCCGAAGAAGGGGCATAATTTGATTTTCAAAAACTTTTCCGATTTCCAAATAATTTTAAACTCGACCTGCCGTCACACATGTATTCAGGGTGTCGAACTACAAGCCGTACATTTTTCGAGTGTATTTGGAGCATATTGTTAACTTTCGAAGCCACATTGTTAAATGCAGAGACATGGCGTTTTATGAACGTCCATTTCACATTATTAAAAATCTTCCAATTGAAAACTTTTTTTAAAACCGAATTCTACGCTTCCTTCGAGTATAAAACTGGACAGGAGATAATGTTTTACCAAATGAGCAGTAGAATGGAGATTTTTATGCATGCTTTTCATGGAAAATAATCGGATTTTTAATGGCACCGAAAATCAATCAGAAAAATGCATGCTACATAAGTAGGCACTTTTCACAGGGCGTAGTATTTGCTTGCAGCCAAAATGAAGTTCATTTGAAAGCCGGCATTCCAGGGTAATTGAATTATTATAGAATTACATTGCACGATTACTGGTTCTACAACCATATTTAATCAACCTTTTTGAAAGAATGCGCATTTTATAATTTCGGTTGACATTTCATGAATTAACCCACTTACTGTATGTCGCAAGAGATTTCGTGGATGCATCCACAGTAGGAGAAAACACAGGGACGAAATTGCGTGTCTAGAGGATAGGGGTAACTTAGTAGGTGAAGGATCACAGAAAGAGAAAGTACTGTGTCAAGTCTTTCAATCGGTTTTTACGGAGGAGTCTTCTGAAGACAATCAGCAGGTTAAAATGGGCCAAGACGGTTGGGTTCTTAAAATGCGCCAAAATACTGCCGCTATTGAAACCGTTGCCTTTTCCATAGAAGAGGTAATGCATGTCCTCAGTCAAATAAAGCCAGATTTGTCCTCTGAACCCGACGGAATTCCTGGGTTGATACTGAAAGAGCTATCAACGGAGCCGTCAAAACCTCTTTCGACTCTCTTTGAACTGTCAATGAGAAAATGGAGGCTGCCATCGCAGCGGAAGACAACTAACCTCGTCCCCTTACATAATGGAGGTTGCATTATGGCACCAAGCTGATTCAAGCCTATTAGTCTAAAGTACGTTTCATGCAAAATGATGGGAACATTATTGATGAGTGCCATACAGCAATTTTGTGAAAAAAATAACATCTTGCAGGATATTCAATATGGCTTCCGGACGTTCCTGTCTGTCAAATCTGCTAACTTGTCTGGAGATCTGGACCAGGGCTCTAGAAGAGGGTTTTGAGGTCGATGTCGTGTACATCCATTTTTACAAAACATTCGACATCGTCCCACACCAACGCCTTCTTCACAAATCGAGCGCCACTGGCATCCGAGTAGATTGTCTGAACGGGATAAGGCGTTTCTAGCTGGTCGGAAACAGCGTGTCTGTGTCGGAAATGATATGTCTGACTGGTTGAACTTGAATAATGGTGGGTCTTAGGGCTCAGTTCTGGGATCATTACTCTGCATCCTTTATGTTAATGTCATCCCTTCAGGAACTCCACTGCGAAAAAATAATGTTTGCCGATGGCACTTAGCTCTGGCAAGTCATTAAGAATCCAAATGCTTAGACAGCGCTTCAAAATAGTTTGCGCCGACTGCAAGCCTGATCCGAGAAATGGCTACTAGATTTCAATGTACAGACGTGTGCCGTCCTTCATTTGCGTCTAACCAACTGTTCTCCAGATGAGAGTCTGAGGGCGTATCACCCAAAAGACATTACACTTCTTACAGAATCCTCACCGAAGGATCTCGGTGTTTGACTACAGAGCAACATGAAAGCAACACTACAGCGTCAGAAGCCTGCAAAAAACACCATGGGAATGCGCCATGCAATCAAAAGGACGTTCGTAACCTTTGACAAAGACCTTTTCAGAGAGTTTACGGCACCTCTGTTCGGGTCGATTAAGAATGCGGCATACAAGCGTGGCGACCATAGCTATTAAATGACCAAAAATTCCCCAAAAGAGTAAAACGTCGTGCAAAAAGCTGGTTATCGCTTTAAAAAGATAACCCTACGTGGATAGACTGAATGGCCTTCATTTATTTCCTCTGTGTTACAGGCAGCAAAGAGGTGATCTTATCCTAGTTTACAAGAAAATACGTGGCCTTGAGCTTAGACTTAGTTTTGCGGACATGTTTCAGTGGCGCCTTTCACCCACTCTTCGTGGTCACTCGATGAAACTAAGGACAATAATGTCCAGGCCGAATGACCGATCTGAATTTTTCACACAACGGGTAGTGCGAAAGTGGAACGATCTCCCCCGATCAGGCATGGAGGCGACGTCCATGCAACTGTTCAAGAAGCGCTTGGACGATTATTTGTGCCCGTGTTTTTTCTCGACAGTCTGAACCTGAGTTAAGTACCCCGCGATCCCCGGGCATTTTTCCTTGAAACAATGCTACTCTAATATATCTAGTACTGTTTTAATAGCGACGATATTCATTGTTCGTGAACAGCCATATCTAACGTGTTGACATGTAATCAATAGGGTTTTCAAAGATCTTACCTATGATTCTTACCAAATAAACAAATAAACTGAAGCTTCTTGTAGACCGTGCGTCATTAGGTACCGTGCGGTGAACTCGGACAGTCGGTCAGTCAGTCGGTCTGACACTCAGTCGCTGTCTTCAGTGTTCCAATTGAGGGACACAGAATGCCGCTGTCTTCCATGCAGGTAGCCTGGCTAGTAATGGTGGGTATTCCGACCTGCAAACCTTCTACATCCGGCGATGAATGAGTTTCTGCTTTCACTAATTAAATGTAAGTTATATCTGCAAGCTCTTTGCTATTTTCATGTGGATTTATGCCTCACCATCGTGGGAAACCGCGTCCATCATTAGACCGTTGTGCCATCAATTACACGTCTCATTAAGTCCACTGTATGACCTACAATTCTCAGAGTGATTCTGGTCCTCTTACAGCTTATTTGGCAGATGCGCATCCGGAATGTCTCCGCTTACAACCTCATCGTTGGCGTATTTTATTTTGATACCGTCAATAATAAAAGCGTTTCCGCAAGCAAATTATGATTTTGCGCATTGTCTGCGCGTGCTATTCCATGTTTATTCTACTTGCCCACGCGTCTTTTGCGCGCTCGGTTACCTTTTATATACTTAGCCAAACCGATGCCTCTGCGGGTTTTATATTTTATAGAGCCAATGAATGTGCATCTTCATAAGCGGGCTTTCTACAATGGCACATGCATTAAAGGAAGACCTACCCGTTCTTTCACCATATAGGAAAAAATCTGATGCACATTAAAGACTAACAAAACTGTCGCTTATTCTACGAACATTGGATGCGTCGAATTCGCCTATGTCTACTCCCCCCAATCTCGGCAGTAATCGACAAACTTATCCAAAGTCAAACAGACACAGGAAGTAGGCGTGGCTTTTACCTCCGCACGGCGTGAATACCAGTGCTCAGTCAGCGTGCCATAAGAACATTCTTCAACCAATTCAGCCCACCCACACGTTCTTTATCTCACGATTAAGACGGACATTATCTCCAGTAATAAAGAGAAGACTGGAAAACAGAGAAGCAAATGCAAACGCGTAGACCAAAATGGAAAAATCAACGACAACCTTTCTACTTATGGCCAATTAGTAGGCCTTTATGTTACATTTAAAATATTTACCTGTAGTTGTAAATCGCGGGAAGAAGGGGTTTCATTCTGAAATGTGGCATGCGAAATACAATATAAAAATGCTGCACGCGCCGAGTGAGGAGGAGAAGTAGAAAACATTACATACGGTCATTTTTAAAATTTTGAAGATTGAGCTGCAATGGAATGTATTGTTTCATTTGAACAAACGACCGCGTGTGAAGTATTTCGCATTAGAAAGTTGTTGCTGACCCCATAAGTGTGCACCACTGGAGTGGAAAAGGACTTTTTGGTCCCATGGTCTGTCAATCTGACTTATTATGCTCACGTTTAGCTCTTGCATTTCGAGGAAATGGTGTGCATCCATCCCGCGACAATTTAACAAGTATACATGCTTACCGCAGGACATTTCAATCCATCAGACATTTGCATCCGCACTCGTCAGACGGGTTTATCCTAAATAAAACAACACCAGTCAGTGAATCTCGCAATTCGGCGGCTAAAAGCAATTTCCTGCGAAATTAGCTACACATTCCTGCGGGACAACTAATAGGTCTTTTGAGGCTTCATATGCAGCTATTTCCTCAAAAGTTGCCTTACATCCCTGTTTTAAATGATTTTGCTGTTCAAAGCATGACACGTTAAATCTTCTTTACAGCAGATACTGAATTTAAGGGCAGAATTGGAGCCCCTAAATGCACTTAGGTGAGTAACTAATCCGCCAAAAGCAGTCAGTGCTAAAGACCACAAAAATGTCTGCAGTTGAATCAAGTATCTGAATATTTTAACTCCTACGAGATTATAACGCTTATAGAACTCAAAAGCCAACCAAGTCTTTCAGCAGGCTAAACCAAATGACTGCATCCTGTGTTACGTGATCTTCACAACCGGTAATTCTGATCTAGTCCCCATTCTTCCCACCTCGACTACATCCCTCTCATTCCTTCTGCCCTCCGTCCCCCTTCTTCACTTTCCCCTTTCCCCTCGTTTCGAAGCGTCCTAGACAGAGGACGGTATTCGATACCGTAGGTGGCTTAGGCTGACCCTACAGAACAGGACCAATACCCATTATGAGATTTTGCAGCCGTCAGGGACGCATAAGCAGCCGCATTTAGGGACAACTTTGCTTATCTCCTCACAGAGTAAGAAGTTAGGAAAGGTGTTGTAAAGAAATGCTCTCCTCCGCATGCTGGCCGTGGATCGCAAGTGCAAAACACGCGATCGAATCAAGAAACAACAACCCCTCTCACCCACAGCTCCCCCCCCCTCCGTCCCATCCCACATTCAGCTGGGTAAGTCCGCTCAATCTGGCAGCTTGGAATGTTAGTTCCCTTTTAGACAATCCGGGGAACAACCAACAGGAGCGGAGGACGGCGATAGTCACTGGTGAATTAACGCGCTACAAGGTGGACGCGACTGCTCCTCGCGTGACCCTCTTCTCCGAACAGGACTAGCTGTTAGAGATGAATGCTGACTACACCTTCCTCTGGAGCGGCCGTCTAAAGTCAGAAAAATGCGGCACTAGGATCTGCTTTGCCATCCGGGACGACATCGTAATACGACTGCCTTGACTGTCGCAGAGCATTAATTACCGCTTTATTGTTTAGGGTCGGCCTCTTTGGGAGGCTTAATTTGTCACCATCAGTGTCTCCCTCCCCCCCCCCCACCGTTACCAGCTCGGACGAAGCCAAGACTTAGTTCTAGGAAGACCTGCGCGCAATCCTGGTATCTGCTCCAAAGACGGATTAGTTGGTTGTCCTTGGTGACTTTAATGCTGCCGTCGGAACAAACAATACTGCCTGAAGGATAGTGCTTGGTCTCTATGAAATAAGCGGCTGAATCGATAACGGCCTCCTTTTCCCTCAAACCCGCGCAGAACATCGTCCCCTCCCTACCAACGCATTCCTTCTTTCGATGTCGAAGAAGGCAGCCAAGATGCGCTCGATCGTTGCGCTGGCAGCAACTGCACTATGTTCTCGTCAGGAATGAGATCGACGGAAGGTGTTAGTGACCGAGACTATCTGTGACGCCTGCGGGTGGTTGGATCGCCACCTCGTCATCTTAAAGATGAGACACAGAATGCAACCCCTCGGACGACCAAAAAGTAAAGACCTACCAAAAAAGTTTAATACTGTTTTGTTGATTGTGCTTACTCGCGGACTACATTTCCGAAAACAGCTAGTTCACCACTTGGAAGAACTGCCTACTCCGGAAAACAATGCCATTGCGCAGAACGGGCAATGTCAAGCGCAGAATTCTATCCATACCACTTCCTTTAACGTCTCTGAACGCATTTACCATCGAAACCCAGACTGGCTTGAGGACAAAGTCTTCCCTGTCCGTCAGACTGATTCAAACAAAGCGACCATCTTCAGACGTCACCGTCCCGTGTAGAAACGACTGCAGGAGACGCAGGTAGTCCGAGTGACTCGCAAAGCCTGGGAAATCCTGGGCTATATGGACTGCAATTAAATCAAAAATTTTCTTCGCATCAATCAAGATGGTCTACAGCTCAAAGGCCAACGAAGTCACACCGTTTCATAACACCAACGGAACGACATTTCTGATGGAGAAATTACAGATTCTGAAACGCTGGAACGAGCGCTATGCCAGTGTTCCCAACCACCCATCTACCATCTCCGACGCTACAAACGACAGGATCCTTCAATCTAAGACGAACGATAACCTGGACCCCTCGTCTGCCCTCCCAGAAGCAGCCAGGATTGTGCATTAATTCGCCAGCCGGATAGCACCGGAACCCGATGCGACCCCAGCCGAAGGTCACAGCACGGCGGCCTTCATTCGATGGACAAACGTACGATGCCATTTTAGGAGAGGTAGCGAGGAGGACAATTTCGTCAGAATTTTCAGGCTGCGCAATCTTTCATCTCTACAAGCAGAGTAAGGTCCAAAAACTTTGTGATAACCACAGAGAAATCTTGGTGCTGGAAGGATCTTTGTCCACATCCTCCCTAACCAAGTCAACGCCAGGTTACAGCAGGGACTTATCCCGAAATGTTAATGCTGCGTCCGACGCCACTGCTGAATGACCGACTTGATCTTCGGCATCCACCAGCTGCAGAAGACATGCCAGCAGGTGTGGATCCATCTTCGGACCACTCTTGTGTATCTGACGAAATCCTCCGACATGGATAATCCCAACGGACTCTGGAAAATCATCCAGACTTTTAAACGTCCTAAGATATTCACAAGCATAATGCGACAACTCCAGAACGGATGGTGATATCGCACATCACGGAAAGTGGGACCGTCTCAGAAGCATTTGCAGGGATAAAAGGAGTGAAGCGGGAATGCGTACTCGCTCCCACCCTCTTCAGCCTCATGTTTTCTGTCATGTCGACGGCGACCTGCATGATAAAAGTCCCAGAATCCGCAGAGGCTTCATCTTCTTAATAGCCCGACGCGTGTCTCCACGATCGTTGTCCGCGATTTCCTCTACGCGGACGACTGCGCACTCAAATTCCAGAAGAAAGTAGGCAACAGAGCACGGGCCTGTTTGTCTCTGACTGCGGAAACTTAGTTCTGACCATCAGCAAAGACACACCGGGATATTGCATTAACTGTCTCCTAGCACTGCATACAGTGTGTCTAACATTCACGTCAACTACACCAACTGGAAGCCGTTGACAAAGTCGTCTACTAGCGCAACAACCTCTCCCACAACATTGCAATCAACAAAGAAGTGGCATACTGGATCTCCAAGCCATGCCAGGCCCCCGGACGGCTGTAGAACCCGTATGGAATCGCCACGATTTCCATCCAAACACTCCTCGTTACGACCGATTTGGCGCGCTTTAGACTATAACGACGCGCTAGTTGTCGTGACCTAAAATGTTGCCAACTGGCGCTTAAACTGAACTCCCACAGGCAGTTCAGTTGTAAATTTGTGTTCTGAATGGCCGACTGGCAAACTAAGAGTCGAACTGTGATGGCTACTCCGTAATGACACCCTCACTCACAAGAGGGATCTGAGCCGCTTCCCATTTATGTGCTTAATCCTCGTGTACGTGTTTGGTCGAGAAGAGGGGCAGGTCATGCATGTGGCGGCGGCAGATGGGCTTTTTTTCTCTGTCAAACACTGCGCTCGCACCAGACGACTGACCGACACGAACAGTGGGCTGGTGCCTGGAAGTGACAACACATATTAAGTTCAATGGTATTAGACTTTGAAATGCGTCTCTGAAGGCAGACAAGTCCAGTCTCGCAGTCAGCTCACTGTGTGTTGGTGCATAGTTGCTGATTGGTGAACTGGGAGTCTGATTGCGACGACTCCTTAATGCGACTCTTAGGGCACTGCGATTCAGTGGGATCCAAAATCCCCTCTTTTTTCTTCTGGTGTAGGATCCTGGGCAGTGTACATAGTGTATCAGGGGACGTTGTGATGCGTCTAGGCGCGGTTTTCGTGGTGCCAGCCCACTGCGCCTTCTCCTGCCTATGGTCTTCTTGACTATTTCCTTGCGCCGAACCTAAGTGGGGGAGGAGGATAGGGTTTGGTAGGTGCAGCGCAAATTCGTTAGCAGGATAACCAATTACGCGCAAGTCACCCTTCTTGTTCTCACCATGCTGTGTAGCACACGGTGTCCATCGCCGATCATAACAGTCGAAATGTCGTGTGATGGGTGTAGGTGGGGTGTCCTGGCAATGATTAGTTGACCTCCGGGCAACGGATTTGAAGGTTACACTAGACGGATATGTGAGTTATAATCGAAGATGAGAGTTCCAAACACCAGTTTATAAGAAGAAGAAGCAACCGCTGGAACAAGAGCTTTATTCGCCTGACGCTTCGGATTCTCACTTGAACCCATTATCCGAGATAGTAGCAGAAGTGGGTGATTCGTGCACAAGAAGTCGCAGTATTCATAGGATGCAGTCGCTATGCTACCCCATACATATAGAAATTAACCACGCTGAATTTCTTCAAGAATTGTTGCCCGCTGGTACGCTAATTGCTTGATGGGGGGCTTTCAAGTTGTAAGTGGCTTACATGTCTTCGCCCGTGTTGAATGCTGGCGTGATTCCTGCTCAGACATCTGGCTCACCGGCTTGCCCACTCCCCGGGTGGTCATTTACTTTGACCAGCCTATGCCTCAGCTTAGAATATGGAGAGGGGATGTCGGTGCACTTGCTGATAGACTGAGGTCCCGTGAACCGCGACTCAGGCAACTCGCAGCTCACGCAATTATCCCCTCTCGCGAGAAATTCCGGCCTAATCGAAGTTGAATGTGTTGCCGTTTCTCGTTGAATGGGCCGCGACCTGAGAGTTGGCGTCATTTCTCCGTACCACTGCCGCGTGTTCGGCAATTCGCATTCGGATCAGTCTTCCAGTTTCTCCGACGTAGTTGAATTGTCCGCAACTGCACCATATCCGGTAAACGACTCAAGGTGTTTCTTGCCGTGACAGTGGGTCTTTTGGTCTCATCACCTGACGGCTCATGGTGGCCTCCGGTCTGTGTGCAACTCTAACCCCAAGTGGTGCAAGAAGGCGACTAATGTCCTCGGAGCCGTTCTTGATTTACGGGATCGCTCGCCAGAATTTGGGGTTGCACGATTTTGTCGCTCGTCTCGTTTGCGCAGGCACCGGTTGACGAAGTTGCGCTGGTAACAATTTTCGCTGTAAAACCCGTCGAAGATACTGGGATTCGGCAACCTTGTCTTCTGGTTCACGGCAGTGCGTCTCAACACGCCGATATACCGTTCTTACGCAACCGCGTTTGTGGAGGATTGGGTGGTTACTGTTTAAGTTCAGTATTTGCGTCGTGTATGTCGCTTTTCTGAACGCTTTGATCTTTAGGTCACCAAAATATTTGCGACAGACGAGGATATAAAGGAATGCAAGCCGGTTATTTTCGTCCTCCTCCATCCTAAATTGTACGTCCGAGAAGACCGCATTCAGACGTTCCTTGAATGTCAGCAGTTGATCCCGGTCGATAACGACGAAGGTATCATCTACATACCGGGCCCAGAAATTCGATCTGTGGTTTTGGAAGACCAGTGACTCCAACCGCTGCAGGACCGTCTCGGCGATAAATCCCAAAATCGGCGAGTCTATTAACGTTCCCTTCACTTGCTCATAGATTGTTCCTTCAGACGTGAAGAACGTCCTGAGACAGACAATTTGGAGCTGAAGGACTTGGGCATGTCCGAGACGATTCTCCGTTTCATTGTATTTGCTTCGTAGGAGTTGTGTTTTGCCAATCAGTGCACCTACGCCACTTTCTAGTCTTATTAGCTTTGTCTAGTCATCGTAGCTGTGTAGATATGAGAAGAGGGGAAGATTGAGGTAGCTTCAAGAGAAGTCGCTTTCGCTATTGACCCATTCACACGCAAGTCACCACCGCGCACTTTTGACACTGACTACTTTCACAACTCACGGCCCGTGAAAACTCAATTTTATGAGTTATCTCAGTCCCCAGATCGATGCCTTGCCAGTTTA